GCGTAATAGCCTCTACTGCTAACTTACAACACTCTCCTTAAATACTTTGACTAATTTGCATATCCCGGTTTCTTCTTTTAGAGTTGGTTGGAAATATACGCGAATTTACAATCCCCAAAGACTCCCAAGAGTATTGGGGATAAAGTGCTGCTCAGATCCGTCACAAAAGAATCAATCAATTAATGAAACAGATTTTACTGGACAGACAACCATATTTAATGCAATGAAATCGCTTAAAAAATTTGTTAATCGTTTCAATAATTATAAGTTTTAGTTTTTTAGCTTCAGTTTCTAGCAAATGTTTGATACATTAATTGGATAATCACGACTTTTTTACAAACACATTCTACCGCACAAATACTTCAATCATTTTTCAGATCTCCGAGATATCAAATACACATTTAACATGTCTCCAACCATCACATTTTCGACAGATTAGAGGACAGGGGGAAAAACCCTCGCCGTTGCTTCAGAAAAAGTACGCTTGATTTCGCTTGTGAAACGAGTAGTGCAGTAATCGTATTCGAGCTCGATTTGCTCCCCATAAAACTGCGGGGTGGGATCCACCATAACTGTGGCGAGGGAGCCGTGATAAATGGATTCCGTTTTCCATAATTTCTCAAACATTTTTATGTATGCATTGGACATCACTTGCGGTCGATACTGTGATATCCGGATCCGGAGATCTAAGGATAAATGATGTTGCTCGATATGGTACTGTGGACACTCGAGAGGGTTTGGGTGTATGATAACAAAGTTGGTTTTTTATTTTATGGCTGACTTCCTGGCATCATCAATTCGTTTTCTTAACACCAGATGGCACTCATGATTACAAATAAAGAAGGAAAGGATGAAAAGCGGTATCCGACTATTTGCAACAACTTTTTTTAAAAAAAAAATAGAGATATGGACATTTTTTGTGGTTTTTAGATTTATTTAGTCCATTTTAAGAAAAATATGCTAAAATTAAGAAGAGTAAAAGAAGTTATATTTTTAGTAAAATGGGAAAAAATTGGTAACATTTTACAAAAAATTACATAAACGGAGCCCATTCTGTACCAAAAGTTTATGAACAAATTTTCAATTTTCAACAAAATTTCAATAAATTATTATTTATAAATATTTCTCCACCTGCAGTTTGAGACCTTACTTTTATTATTATTTAAAATTCAAATTGAAGAAATTAAGAACGGAAAATATGTAATAAGATTATATGGAAATATAGTTGAAGTATATTAGAGAAAAAAATCACCCCATTTATATTCAATTCACGTTGTAAAATCTATTTCTGGTATGAATCTAACCATCACTAGTCCAGAGTGTGGCCCCTGTATCAAAATTTCTTAGAAGACCCTTTTTTGAAAAATAAATAAAAATAATCGCATTAACAGAAAGCTGAAAATGTCAAAATATTACAAATATTGGGCCCGCTGTATCTTTCTGATACGGCTGATATCTCAGTAGTCCTGCCTCTGCTAATAACAAAAGAATGCATATGAACTTAATAACAAAAACATCAGTTTTAAGATTTGTGTCTCGATTTTGGATAATAACATATATAACAGAAATTGATTTTTTTTAATGCTAAATAAAGTCAAGGCTAAAAGGCGACGTAAGGTTTCTTTACACCAGAATACTAGAAGGCACTTGCTTTTGTTATTTGATCATGGTCTAAAAAACGAGGCGTATTTCAGCATTCAGTAATTTCTCTGAGGAAAGACGTTAGTTAAACATGCAGTTAGCTTAGTGGTCATAGTCGCAAACTCTTGGCCAGTGTTTTTTCTGTCTGGTCATTAGATTTGAGCCATGATGCCCTTAAAACAGCCTTTCTCAAACTGTGCCCCCCTGGGGGAGGGCGTGATAACTCTACGAGGAAGCTACGAGCATATTGAAAATTAGAAAGCAAAAGAATATTTAAAAGAATTATTTATTTACTGAAAGTAAACGAACATAATACATTATGACATAATAAAACATAAAATACACATTTCTACTGATATATTACTGTTATAAATGTATCAGTACTGCACAATGCTTTTTATCAATAATTTAACAATACTAAATTAAGAACAAGTTTAATAATTATCAGTGACCCCCAAGGGCTCGTCTTACAAAATTATGTACAAAAATTAACACTCATCTTGATAATTTGTACATTTTATAATTAATCTCTTAACTGCCGTTTAAAAGCTACTCGATTCGCTCGCCAGTGCCACAGTTTTCCCCGTTGGTGCGCATGCGTGATGTATTGGAGGGGGGAATAACAGGAATAAATAAGTAAAACCTTCTATGAAATAAGTAAATCCTCCCCGCAAACACTGACAATGTTATTTTATTGCATTCCAAAGCTTTCGGAATAATTTTATGGATAACAATGCCCGGAGAAGATCAGAAAGACGTATATATACGTCCGGGCCAGTAGCGCACACAGGGATTTTTCAAGGGGGTCCGGGGTCGAAAGTTCATCATTCTTGTATCATGCTCCTTTTGATTTTGTCGATTTTCAGGAACAAAACACAGTAAAAAACTAATTATTGAATAAATAATTAGCATTAATTAATAAAATTAACCATTAATAACAAATAATTAAGTTCTACGTACTATATATACTTAGAATTATAATCAATCGGAAAAAATCAAGGACTTTGGGGGGTTCGGACCCCAAAGACCCGACTCCCTTGTGTGCGCCACTGGTCCGGGCAATTAATGCTCCAATACATTGGTACTGTATGGAAGGGGGAGCGGTGAAAATTATGATTTGGGTGACAAATATTGAAAGTTTCAGAAGCACTGCCTTGAAACAACCACCGTGTAGAGAGGCCAATGGACACTATCGAGGCTCGAACACTATCGAGGCTAGGGGGTAGCTGGGGTCCGGACCCCCTCCCCTCAAAGCCCTTGATATTTTTTCCGATTGATTATTATTCTAAGTATAAAGTACGTAAAATTAATTAAGTATTTGTTATTAATGATTAATTTTATTAATTAATGCTAATTATTTATTCAATAATTAGTTTTTTACTGCGTTTTGTTCCCGAAAATCAACAAAATCAAAAGAACATGATACAAGAATGGTGAACTTTCGACCCCGGACCCCCTCCCCCCTTGAAAAATTCCTGTGTGCGCTACTGGGCTCGAAGCTCTCACCTTCAAGTAATATTGATGTTTTGGTAAGTGGGATGCCAGCTCAGATGTCATCTTCTTTATTTAACCCCGTCCAAAATTACATGGTCCGTCACACCAACAGCTAGCTCTCACGTTGCTTTGAAATCTGATGTTTATAAATAATGAATCAATTAATCACAGCGAAACGTCATGACTGTGTTCAGCATAGTTTAATTGAACAGCAGCAGCAGCAGCAAAAAAAAAAAAAAAAAAAAAAAAAAAGCACGGAGAAAAAATTTTTGTAAATGACCATACCATGAATACGATGCAAATTCTTATAAAATTGGTCTTGAGAAAATTGAATTCTCGTCAATCTAACCCCATTAAAAATTACTGATTAGGTAAAATCAGGTAAGTTCACAATCTTTTATATCAGGCAGCCACACACTTTAGCCTCTAGTAATGACCAGGTCGAACAATGTGTTATTTTAAAATACAAAACTCATTCTAAATGCACATAAATATTATATTAATTATTAAAAATTGAAGATTATCTTCGCGCACGTACAAAAATTATAGCAAGGGCAAAAGATTCCATGCATTTTGATCTTGTGCGGCCCTGAAATATCAAGAAGAAAAGTAAACTTATTTCCTTTTTCATCCCTATTTCACTATGAAAGTTCTCTGTGAATATGCATGAAGTATACAGACGTTAAAGCATCTTTCTTTCAGGTTGTTTTCACGTCTTGTTACGGAATATGACTTGTAGGTACTATCTGTATTAATAATTTACATACGTTCTTACAACATCCTTAAGATTATAAAGCATCAAATATGTATGCACTTTTTACTTTAATGTAGAATGTAACACTAGTATTTGATTTTATTTGTTTCGTTACAACGGAAGAAATGTAAAGCACATGTTCTAGCAAGAAAAGAAAAAAGATATTGATTACGAGATATTAGTAATTCGTGTAAGATGCTGTTCTATATACTTTGATAAAGCCAAAATATAAAACAATCATATTAATCGATTTCTTTTATTATTGTTTCTATATAAAAATATCTCCTACTGGAATCTTATTTTCCAAATTGGGCAAATAAAATCTGTACATTTACAAGTTCATATTTAAAAAAGAAATGGGAAAAATTACACAAAAATTCCCTTTTTTCCTTCTCTAATGTCACATTTTTGTTGATACAATTTTCTGTCGCAAAAGCAGAGACGCTTCATCTCGTTTGAATTCAGTTTTCCTCAACCCGTCCTGATTATTTAAACTCAGACGATCCCTTTCTCTGCTTCTCCGCATCAGTATTCCACTGAAAAAGACTCCGTAACGAGGTTCATTCTTCCTCCACCCCCTCTGTTTCATTCATCTCTCCCCGTCTATTCCAAATCACGTGACGACAGACGACTCCGCAAGGGGTGGACGAAAAAAAGAGGGCACCCAGAGAAGCGTGAGATCCCTATTTACTTCCTACATCGTAATCTCTAGAGACGAAAGGGGCCGATGGAGGCCACCCTTCAAGAAAGATCTCCGGTGGTCTGTTGCTTTTCCATCCCCGTGGGGCCCGACAAACACGATTAGGCCCTAGGCCCCATGCTGACCACTGCTGGATGGATATCGGCTGTTATTTCTCACTCGGCGAGAAGCTTTGATTTGGCTACTATAAGAAATGAATATCATCTGAAAATGATTCGTATTCGGAAATGTTGGAAAATAAAATTTGAATTCGCGAAACAATTTTTTTTTTAAAATTGAAGAATTCTTACTAAATAACATCATTTCGAACATTGACGAAGTAGCTGATGACCATCAGTTTTGAGAGTTCTGGACTTACATTATAATAGTCCAATAACATAAATAGAATGTTAAGTCGTTCGCTGTGTCCCTGTAGCGCAATGGATAGCGCGTAGGACTTTTAATCCAAAGGAATTGGTTTCAAATCCCACCTTTCTCTCTCTCTTTTGTATCATTTGGTGACCTACAATCGCTGTAATGTATAGTGTTACATGTATCTTGTATCCGATCCTTACATTCGATTCAGAAAATTGATATGGTCCTTCAATAAGTTATCGATGTTTTTTGTTTTGTTTTTATTTTTAATAAGTATGTACATTTTTTTTGCTTTACATTTATGATAGATTAATTGGGTCTAATAATAATACTACTAATAAATAAAATACAGATGCCAACGAGTACAATCTCTTTCTTCAAGGTACTTTCATACTTTTTGCCCATCCTATTTACATCAGTTCTCAACTGAAATTTTTTGATTGAACCGTTAATAAATAATAATAAATGCTACTTAATAAAAGTTCTTCAGTTATAACTCAAAAGTTCTCAAGTGCTTTTCCTCTCATTTAGATTAATCTTTAATTTTACTTAACTCAGTGGCGCGATAGCCCATGAGGGCCACAAGGCCTACTGTGCTCTACTCAGTATACGCGACCTTGGGAACTGAGGTTCCGGTCAGACTGACGCAAAATCCACAGTGTTAAGTTCCCAAGCAAGCTTGGTACTCATTTATCAACCCACTAAAGGGATGAAATACTGAGCCAACCTTACCCAGCAAGAGATTTAACCTTTAACTACTGTGCATAAATTTGTCTCTCAGTTCCAGTGCTGCGGTCTAAAAGACTGCTTATGTGTGGATAAAACTAACAGCAGCGTTTAAATTTCATCCAGTTTTAGCTAAAATACATTTTTTTTGCTGTCTCGCAAATACATTTACATTGATTTTTTTTTAATATCAGATTTTATTTTAATATATATTTTATTTCCAAAATAAAACGGATGACATTTTTGTTTCCTTAGGAAAAAATCCGTTCATCATTTCCAAAAAATATAGAAAACCTTTGAAAATGAGATATCTATATAATAAATTAAGATATACATGAAGTTTAAAAAATTGTAAGTAACATTTACATTTTAGGAAGAATGTTTACTTTGCAAACAAAATAGATTTTTCTAAGAGTCAATACAAATTGGACACATTCAAGCCATACTGGTTTTTGGCATTTCACGAATTTAAATTTTGTTTTGTGTGTGTGTTTGTTTTCTTTTCTCCGCAAGGAATTCTGGACTTGTTTTAGTGAACCAGTTTTTACTTGGGTTCTTAAAATTTGACCAACTATTTACCACATATTTGATTTCCTTTTGTGTGAAGAAAACGGGACGCTTTGTTTGGCCTAAAGCTATTAAGATAGCGATGTTGCAGGAAATCAGAAAAATACTAGTAATATCTCTCCAGATCTGCCCTACTACGCATCAGGAAACTAAAAAAGTGAAATCAAAATCCCCTTTAAAGAATGATTCTTTGTATGTGACCTTGAAAAAGCTCCGATGGAGGTTTCTGAGAAAAGAAAGAAAATAATTTTAAAAGCTAAAAAAGAAGATTATGTATAGAGAAGTTGCAGAGTAAGTGAAACCGAGGAAAAACACATTCAAAGGTTAATAGTCCGTTACGTCTGAAATACAACGTATCTAAATGAAAAAAATTTATATGTTTAAAGAATAAATTTAAAAAAAAAATGTTGTTTGAAAACATATGCTATAAAGATGTTAAATGACGCGTACATTTTCTGACTTGACCTAATTATCTGTTAGACCTTAATAGCGAACAAGCAGTGGCGCACACAAGGGGATGTCCTAGGGGTCCGGACACCCCCCATAGCCCTTGATTTTCTTTCGATTGGTTATAATCCTACGCATATATTACGTAAAATTTAATTATATATTTGTTGTTAATAAAATTAATTTTATTAATCAATACTAATTTTTTATTTAATAATTAATTTTGTATTGTTTTTGTTACGGAAAATCGACAAAATATCAAAAGAATATGTTGGGCGGCGTATTAGAGCATGATACCAAAATGGTGGACTTTCGACCCTGGACCCCCCTTCATTAGAAAAATTTTTGTGTGCGCTACTGCGAACAAGTAATGAATAACTTTAAATGAATCTTTTCGAACCTCTTTCATTTATTTTAAATGTCTTTAATAAGAAAGTCTTATTGAAAACTATAAATAAAAAAAATTCTAATTCATATAAATTAAATAATTAACCATTTTTATATGAATGATTTAAAAAAAAACTGTTTATAAATTCCTTTCTTCGGAATATTTAGGTGACTGTGGTAGCCTGGAGGTCAAGGTAAAGGACTCGTGGTTGTCGTGGCATAAGTTCGAGACTAGTGCCACTGAAGATCTGCCGTGTAGTTGGTTGCGTTGCACGCAGGGACGTTTTAAGACTTCTTGAGGCCCTGGGCCTCTACAACAAATGTATGTTCCACCTATGACCCTTAAAAGTAGATGGTATATAGCATACGTTGTCAAATACCTCGAAACAAATAAATGTGCATGACTTACAATCGCACAAACTGGCTCTACCGACTGCCGCCTTTTGACTGAATGAATAATAATGATGATGCATGGTGGTAGGCCTAGGCTTGTACTTGGACGACAGTCATCACAAGTGGCCAGTTAATATATCGTCCGAAATTCCCAGTTTTCGGAGAATATAACTGGAAATAATATTATATTTGACAGTTGAAATTAGTCGAATTACGATCTTATTAAAATTGAGTCGAGAACGCGAGACGAGGCCCACACTTCAGCCGAAGCCCTGGGCCTAGGCCTAGTTAGCTTTACCTTAAGACGCCCCTGGTTGCTCGTTAAACCTGTCGAGACTGAAACGGGGTCCCGTTGATGTAAAATGGAAATTAGAAGACGGGGTGCCAGCTCAGGTGTTGTCCTCATTTCTTGACCATGGCTCAAAATATCAAGGTATGTCGCTAATAGCCCTCATAGTGCTTTACAGTACGAAGTAAATATAACTCTCTCACTCGGACAATTAAAAGTGATACGGAAAAAAAACAAAAAACAGAAGATATAAAAGGGAAATCTTCGTTTCTCAAGGACACTGTTATTATTTTTTAAAAAAAGTCACTCTGATAGTAAATGCCAAGATGTTTGTCCTCACATTAATTGAAGGTAAGTTATCATTTCCTTATCCTTCTTTAATTCTTTCTTTGAAAACGAGTCTTTCAATCAGTTTACTGGTGTTTGAAGAATTATCTTATTCATGTTTTGAAATTTTTGTCCTTAAAGAAAGTTTTGTATTTGAAATGCTTTCACCGTTCTCCTTAAGGGGTATCCGACTACTAGATTTTTTTAATTAAAAAAATGGAGATAAGGAGATTTTTGTGTGGTTTTTAGATTTGCTTAGTATATTTTAAGAAAAAAAAAAGGCTAAAATTAAGAAGAAAAAAATGAGTTATTACTACTAAGATGGGAAAAAAATGGGTAAAAATTACATAAATGGTGCCCTCCCCCTGTACAAACAGTAAATGAATGAATTCTCAATTTTTCAATTCTAATGTGTTGCTATATTATTCATTTTTGAAATGACCGTCAGGATAAGAGATATTTTAATTTTTACTAAAACTAGAGTACTTTATCTTAGTTATTGTATGAAATTGCTTAACTTTATATCTACCGTATTATGACTTACTGCAGTTTTTTCATGCAATATTTTTGGGGTTCACTGCATTGAAAATTGAGGGATATACATAAATAAAATACACAACTTTAGGAAATTTAATCCGTTGGAGCTAATTAATTAATTAAAGATATTCAACGGTAAAATTAATTCTATACTCTGTTTACTTAAAATAAGTAATCAAATCATTTTCTAAGGTCTTCATTAACATACAAAAACATAAGACACATAAATTTTGACATAAAGTATTTTTTCGGGACAAAAATGATAATCTTCGCAATCCGTTGAAAACGCCGTCAGCTGAAAACGCAATTCCTGCTATAAAACTATTCAACTTCCCTGCTAAAATACTCATCATAGAACCCGTGCTGTCATATATCTTGGAAGAGTGGATTTCAAAGAATACTCCTACGAAGTATCGTCAGAATTTTCGTAAAAATGGTTATTCTATGTAATTTTAAAGTGAGTGGTACTTATAAGTACCGTCGGTAGACAAAGGGTTAAAAAGAAACAGTGATTATATTCACATAAAGAACTGTAAGTTTTGTAATAAAACAACGATTGATAAATCTAAAGTTTAAAACACCCACTATTATACAGAACATACACAAAAATTTTCAGCAAATTATTTTGATAACTTTTTGAGAGCAATCGCTGTCCCCGTTTGAGCATTTCGAGTAAAACGCATCTTAAAGATTGAGATCTTGTGTAAAGTTATGGCATCTGCCTTTACTAAAACACTTGTAGTTTTGGTTCTAGTGAATGGAAAATGAAAACATGGTATTTTTCTAAAGCTAATAAGATGGCTCATAAAAAAATGATAAAAAGTTTTTTTGTGGATTTTTGAAAAAAATCATGATTTTAGGGTAGTTGGATACCTTAAAGTTGTTTGAGTACCATTTTCAAATTATTCATTTGGTTCAAAATTTCGAGATCCGTTACCAGTAGCCCTCGTGTTGCTTCGGGGGAGATGTAAATTAAATTAAAATCAAATAAAACTACTCACAATGGTTACGGCAGCCTAGTGTTGATTCATGTTCACGTGAACTCGCAATCTGTGATATTTCCCCGAATTCTAATACCATTTAAGATCATATTGAGAGGCTGATAAACTTTAAATCAATCGAATTTCAATGTCTTCAATTCGTAATAATGTGCAAATTTGGAGGAAAATGTTCATGAACTTAGATTTCATCCTTGTCACTGAACTATAATTCAAAATCACAAGGTCTGTCAAAAAGAACTCTTACGTTGCTTCGAAGTGTCCTTTAATAACAACCCACAATTAAAATACATATTTATAGAGATGTACTCACAATTTAAGAACTCTCTGTACTGTGTGATTTCCTAAATTAGTTCAACTATAGGCTTTTTCATTTTAAGTTGAGCAATCATTAGTATGGTCTCATGGTGGCCAACCACAATTGTTTTATATACTAAGATAAATAATAGTT